CCCCGCGACTCCGCCGGTAATGACAAATGGTTGTCAGTTTGTGAGCTGCCGCCAGCATTGCAGCTGCTGCGCCAGTTGCCATTTCACAATTCGACGAAGCGCAAGGGGCGCCCAGCCCCGACCCCGAGCACCATGCAAAAAAGGGGGGAAAACAACTAGAAAATTAAATCGAGTAGAGTCAGGAAAATATAAAGCCAAACTTTATTTTTTGCCCACCTATATAGAGCTTGGCAAAAAGTCATGTTGGCGTACGGCGTGGATTGATGTGTGGGGGGGTGCTTGGTGGAAAGTAATAAATGAAGTTGGCAGCTGTGTGAGGGATTTGAGTCCAATGGGGCGCTTGGGGCGGGTTCGTTGTGCAATTAACTGTAAAATTGCTGTCACAATATTTAAAACTTTTAATTGTTTGTTCAATTGCAACGACAACTGCAACAATGTGGCGCCACTTGGCGTTGTGCAACACTGGCGCTTTAAGCCAAAAACTTAAAGGGCAAACGCTTCGCCCGATGCCCAGCCCCTGTCCGTATTCATATCCGCATCCGCATTCGTATGCTCATTCGCGTTCTCGTTCTCGTTCGCATTCACATTCGCATTCGCATTCGTGTTCTCTTTGTCATCAACAGGCGCAGTTGTCGTTTCATGTTGTTTCGTTTCTACTCGTTTCGTCGCTCACTCGTCTCGTCTCGTCTCGTCTCGGGTCGCGTTTCGATTTCGTTTCGTTTTCGTTTTTTGCAAAAATAATTTAACATGAATATATCGCATTTCACGGAGTCATACATCACACAGCGGCAGCCGCATGTTGCCTGCCGCTGTGGGCGTCGGGGCGTGCCTGCTGCAGGGGACGAAGCCGCTGCCGGGGACGAGGGCAGCAGCACGCGGCAAGTGACAGCACTAACATAAACCACAATAATATCCAAAGTCATGAAGAAAGTAACCAAGTGTGAATTTTCGGTTTATGCCTCGCGAAACAGAGCGGCCAGCGGCCCGCGGCCCGCTGCTCGCGTCGCTGTGCACCCTACAGCATTTAGGCACAGTCAATGGCCATTTGGAATCTTCACAACCAATGTCTATAATTGTATTCTGTAATGCAACAGCAGCTACGACAAGTTCTTGAACACGACTATTTTAATTTTCAGCGCGAAAGCTCAGCTCTGATTCGCTTCCTCCCATCGAGTTTTTAATTACTCTGTTTAAGCTGATGTAGCGCGAGCTCTTCATCGAGCGCAGCCTTAATGTAAGCTTTTGAAGCTTTTTTGCCTGTCCCGCTAGGTCAATCAAATAGCTCCAGAAATTTGCGTACTGTTGAAGCCTCATTCCGCTCCCTTCTTTTCCTCTGAGCTCCTGTAGTTCGGGACGCAGCTTAAATGCTAGCTTCAAATAGGTTCATTTCGTTTCTCTTCTTTTCGTTGGAAATTCAGCGATAGATTGTAACATGTAAGACCACAGGTCTACACATCACGTTTGTTCTCCTCTGGATTTAAGGGTTTATGACTCTCTAGAAAAAATAGTTGTTTTACTCGTAATTTGTTTTAAGCAAATTATTTAACCAATTAAAATTATAATAGGACTTTACTTTAAATCATCTGAATAAAAAAAAAGATTTAATAAAGAATAGCGACTCCTCCATGGTGCATACAGCTCGTAGCCGCATCAATAACTTGTACAATTTTCAATCGATTATTCTAAAATGTTGCATTTATCTTTAACAGTACATTACTCAAGGCATTTGTTTTTTATATTGACTTTTAGCCGAATGACGCACTCGTAGAGTTAAACTTTCAAAATACGACCAAAACACTATCAGTTAATTGTTAATAACAAATAAAACATATTAACCACATGCAATTTAAAAAAAAAGCTATATGATTATTAAACAAAGCATTTTGAAAGATGTATGTAACATTTCAGCCTAAGCGGTGGAAAATTGTACAAGTAATTGAATAACTGTATTGGTCAACAAGTTTTTATCTTTTATGTTTTTAATTATTAGACAGTATTAGGCAACGAATATAACCAAACGTCGTCAATATTGTAGTTCTCTTTCCAATGCAATTATCAATGGTAGCTCATTAGCAGATCCCTTCTAGCCGGTTCGCAGCTGCGCCCTGCGCCTGCTTCTGTCCTGTGCTGTTGTGTTGTGGCCTGTGTTCTGACTCGCTGCAGTTGTTTTAGTTTGAGCTTCCGTTTCGCGGACAGTTTGCTTTGCTGTTTTTTATTCTTGTGTGATTCTTTGACTGCACACTCTCTTTCTCACACACACACACACACACACACACACACACACACACACACACACACACAGCCAAACAGAGTGTGCAGCAGAAAAAATTGTTGCAACAAAACATTTACGACGTCATCGTTTCACAATTTTCGTCCAGTTTTGTTTTGTATCTTAAAATAAAAATTTGTTGTTGTTGTTGTTGCCGCCGTTGTGCTCGCACTCCCCCAGCGGGGCAAAAGGAAAACCCGGCAGCACAGAGTGAGGGAGAGAAAAAGTGTAAAAAGTAAGGAAAACCTCGTGTCATTTATCATGCATTTCCACTTTTGGCTTCCGTCGGCCGGGACATGGCCCAACACAGACGAATGCACGAAACGGACACAAAGACAAGCGGATGGACAACTGAGACTCGAGTGCGAGTGGCACCAGGAACAGGAGCGGGACGCTGGCTGTCGAGACGAAGCATGACCAGGAGCAGCTCAAATGATGTGTGCGCTGCTTTTGCCGCAAGGCACAAAAAAAAAACAAGAAAAACAAGAAAAGAATAGCACGAAATAAACGAAAACATACAAAACACATTGCAGTGTGAGTTGTGTGTGTCTCTGTGTGTGTGGTGTGTGTTGGCTTTTTTTTGGCCAGTTTAATACCTCCAAATTCCAGCTGCAACTCTGGCGGTGGGGCCTGTCAAAGTTGCGGCTCTCAAACTCTGCAATTCGTGTACATTTTATGGAGCCGCATCGGCGCCGCATTCTCTGGGACAAATGAAGCGGTCCACAAATCATCGGCAGACGCCCAATTTATGCGTTTTCATTTGGCCAACAATTCGCTTTTCATTTTCATATCCTGTGCAATTTCCATCCCCTCCCCCCAAACCCCCTAAAGCCGCATGCAAAATTAATAAAAAGTAAGTTCGTCCAAAATCCAACAAACGCGAACAAAAAACCCAAAGGAATTCTGTACAATCAATTTCCTTTTAAGCCCAAAAAAAAAGGCGGCAAAAGATATATCTGTATTTGGACAGCGAAAATTGAATACACTTGCAGCTATATTTATTGATCAGTTTTGCCCCGATACTAAGAAAACTGCGCAGATATCGATTAATTGATACAAATTTCATCTGCACAAAACATTTTCATGCTCTCCGTTTTATAGGTATTTAGAAGTAAAAGAAAATGAAGCCGTCTTTTAAATATTTCCGTTTGAAGTGAGACGAAATTATGAAAAGTTTTTTAAGTTATTTGCATTTGAATTGTGCCTCGTTTTTTTACTTATTGGCAATCAATTTGTGGCGCCACATGTTAAGCGGCAAAAGTTTCACAAGAGTGGCCTCTTGACACAAAACGATGACGAGTTGTCGATTTTGGACTCAACCAGAAGGTCTATTCTATCCAAATAATAACAGCAAAAGGTGCTTTGGTCGGGAGTGCCCGATAAGCAGATACCCTTAACCCAGCGCTGAGCTGCCTTATACATATACAAACATGAGGACTTTATGAAGCTGCTTCTTAATCACTTAACTCCTCTCTGTGGGAAATGCATCCTTGATTAACTTCAGTGTACGATCTTTATAATATGTTCAAGGCATAAGCTAGTCAACAAAATATACGTAAATATCGAAGCGCAAGACTATGCCTCCTAAAAAATACATTTTTGCCGGGTACGGGTTGGGGTATCCGAATAGATAAATATTCTGGATATGTGCAAATCCTTTTTGAATATCGATACTTATCGATTTCGTGGAAAAGGGTTTCATATCAACCGTTTGTGACTAATATAATCTGTGTGTGTCCTATCGATGACAGGACAGGCTTGTCATCCTACATTCAAAACTTACAGTCACAACAGAACCTTGGAAGAGAAATTGAAAAAGGACTGCAATAAAAGTCAACCTTAAGCAATAAAATGGTCTTTATATTTCTTATGAAGTTGATACGGTATTACGGAAGAATCTTTTACGTCTTAAGCTTAGCATAGTATGATTAAGGATATTATAACTTAAATTTGTATTATATTATGATATTTGGCTATCTATTACAGTTGATCTACACAGTTTTCTATCCTTGTCCAGTGCACCCTATTGACCCCAGCCCAAAGAAGGAGACATATTCAGCGATTTGGCTATCTTACTAGGAAATTTAGCTTAAATTTTTTAATGAAACACTTTGTGTACAAAGTCTTTTGAGTCCAAACCGAAGTTGTTAGAGCTAATCATTGGCATATATTTCGGTTTGCTTATCAATATATGTATATATTAAACATAGAATATTTGTGGCAAGGTGGGCGTAGTCCATCGACTACCCGCAGGCCCTTTACTCCTGGTCTTGGGCCTCTGGCCCCTTGACACTTAGAACAACAAATGTGGCTGGCGCAGATGCTGCTACATTGACTGGAGGCAAGGGCTGAGCTGGGACGCCTGTGGGCGTGTCATATGCGGCAAGCAGAGTAATGTAAAGTAAAGTCAAGTCAGGGGAAAACTGCGCCAAACAAATGCGACGCCACTTGGTCTGCGTCTGCTGCATGTTGTCTGTTGTCTGTGTCTGTCCCTGCCCCTCCGCCTGCCCCACCGCCTGCACCGGCGTCCAACTCTGCGCCTGTATCTGCGTTGTGACGCAAACAACCGCAATGAACTTGAGCCCAGCTGTCAATGTGATAAATAAAGTTGGCTTGGCACTGGGCCCTACTGGTACCTATGTAGGTTCGGGCTATCCTTCTTGGATAAATGGGATGAAGACGTGTTTATGAATCTGCCGCCAAGTAGCTAACAATCAGTTTCCTCTCTTTGCAGCAACAAAACCCGAGCAGTTGAAGCAAATCCAAGGATCTCGGAGAGTTCATACATACACAAAAGCACGCTTGCAAGAATACCGAAAATGGGCGTGGCACGCCTTACCCTAATGCTGTTGGTAGCAGCAATGCTGCAGCTGAACCATGTGGATGCCTATTCCAGTACGTATACGTAATATTGAGCTGAATACCTTTGTCTTTTGTTGTCCTCGTTGCTCTCTGTATCACTCTTCGATCATCTTCCTATCCCCCCCCCCCCCCTGCCTACTCGTCCTCGTCCTCCTGCTGCTCCTTCCACGCCTCTTTCGACGCGTTGGATTCTTGCATTCGGATTTTTGATTGCCCTACTTCTCCCTCTCAATTTTTCTCTGTGTCTTTCTTTGTCCCACTCCCTTATAACCGTCTTTTCGTAATGTACAAATCATCATGCATTCATCGTCATCGTCATCTTCACTATCATCACGATCAACATGGTTTTCATCGTTACGCGTCCACGTTTTATCTTATTATTTGTATTATTTTAACTTTTTTCCCCTCTTGAAACCAAACACTCAACAACTGCTCCCAACACCAACACCAATACGACCCCGACTCCGACTCCGGTTCCGTCTCCGTTTCTGTCTTCGGTTCCGTTTTTGTTTAACTACGTATCCACACTGTGAAGAGTATGGACGCGGCTGTGCCGACATTGGTTGCCTACCCACTGAGGAGTGCATCATCACCAGCGATTCGTGCAGCTATAATCAGCGCGATGGCAAGGACTGCGGCAATTATCCGACCTGCAAGCGCAAGAGCGGCTCCAGCACCAACCAGGCAAATCCCTCCTCCTCGTCGTCGTCAGTTAATCCGTCAGGTATTTATTTTATTTATTTTGCTTATTTTCATTTTGAGATATTATTTTTATGCCTTTTTCACTTGAAATTTTGGGATCGGGCGGGGTGAAGCTTGGCGAGCTTTTACCAAATTGACGGCGGAAGAAACGTCGTAGATGCACAGATTGACTGACGTACAGACGGATAGAAACGTACAAATACATATATTATAGTTTCCCATTGATAATTGTTTACTATCATTTGCTTTATTTTCAATGTTTATTTTGTATATAACAACCTAGTTACAAGTACATACATACATACATGTAAATCAAGAGATTTACCTAATACTCTCTCACACACGCACACACACACAAATGCTACGCTCTCTTTGTCTTACTCATTTAAGTTTTGTTTTTTGTTTCATTCCACTTGCACTTTCGCCCGCTCATTCATTGCTTCATTTTACAACACTGAGCTTTGGCTGGTGCATATCACAAATACAAACATATGCATACAGACACACATGCATATGCATCGCAGTTGCGCTCATTTGCTTCTGCCTGCTGCTGTCTCTCGCAAACACATACACACACACTCGTTTACATGCACATCCACTGCTGCTACTGAAGCTCAAGCTCAGGCAAGAGTACACGCCATATATATGGAGAGTGGGAGCGAGAGCGAGAGCGAAAGCGAGAGAGCTTGAGCCTGACCGCTCGCTTACTCGCATGCAGCAACAGCAGCAGCTTGTGGATCGTTCAGCGCTGATTAACCAATTGTATCGCATTTTCTCTCTCATTCTTTAACACTGCTCTCGCTCGTCGTGGCACTGGCAACGGCTTACTAACAGGATCCAGCCTGAATACGGGGCCTGAGAATAATATATTTGCGCCGGCTTCATCGAATCCCACACATAACACCTACACCTATTTTAATCACAATAACAATAATAACAACCAGAACGGTGGGCATCAAAATGGCAACCAGCAGCCGTTGGGCGGCCAGGGTGGCGCACAAAATGGCGGCCAGGGTGGCAACCAAAACGCCGCCAGTGCACAGGGTTCGAATGGGGCCGCGGGTGCCTCGTCCACCGGGATCGATCAGCATTATGTGTTCGGGGCCAAGCATCATATGCCCGTAATACCCAATATGCCAATCTTTCCCTACAATTCGCCCACGCAAGCGCCATCATTTCAACAGTTTCCCCAACCCAATCATCCAGGTAGCGTGCTCAATCCCGGTTATCCCATGCATGGCCTGCAGCCGATGAACCCCTACAATCCATCGTTCGTATTTGGTCAGATCCCGTTCTATTCGGGACCGGCCGGCACTGGTGGACCGCCTGGCGGCGGCGCCGGCATCGGCATGCCCAGCTCCAGCATAGGCATCCTCGGAGGCGGCGGCGGCGGTCTGGCCCCATATGGAAGCAATTATCAGGGCTATCAGACACATCATCAGAATGCGAACATGTACAACAAGCCGCCGCCACAGTACCAGAACCAGAACCAACAGAATCCCTACAATCGCCAGACCCAAGCACATCCTTCGGCAGCGGGGCGACGCGGCAATTCCAGCGCTCCGCTCATCGGTCTACTCGCAGTCCTGGTGTTGCTGCTGGCCAATGGAGGCAGCGACAGTGCCAGCACGTAATAAGATGCAGCAGCTGCTCTCCCTCCACTGATACCCTTCACTCTTGATCCTGCAACACGACGACGACAACGACGACGATCAACCATATGCAAATCCTTTGCTTGCTTGGTTTCTTTCAATTTCCCCCTAATTTTCTTTTATTATTTTCACTGGTTTTTGGGCCCTATATTAAGACACTTAAAGCGGGCTGGTACGAAAGCTACAGCAATAGCAACAGCAATAACAACAACAACACTTGCAACAGCTGCAACATGTTGCCTTTGCTGCGCATTACTGAGAGGCAACACCTATGGAAACAACAACAAAGCGTTAAATAATTGGTTTTAAGTCAAATTTAAGTAAAACCCACAAGCAGGATAATCTTTTGCATATAGACAAAACATAAAACACGCCCACAATATTATTGAAGTTATTTCTTTTCTATACATTCTCAGCTTACAGCACTCCCCGCCCCGGGCGTATACGTAATATTCAAAGAATATTGTGCGTGCGTGGGTGTGTGTGTGTGGGTGTGTGAGTTGATTTGTGTGTTGGTCTTACTTTCAGTTTGTACCCGGTCCATATGTAGCCCTGGCCCTGAAGGCTCGTTGCACTTCTCTCTGTTTTTTGCAGCTCAATTAAATTGGAATTTAATTTGGGGCTTAGAGCCAGTGCTTGCAACAGCCACAGACTTAGCTGCACGTCGGACACACACACACACATGCACTCACACACGCATACACGCACACATACACACACACAACAGTTAATTTAATTTTTGTTGCTACTGCGAATTTTGTGGTAACCATTTCCGGCTTTTATTTAGTTGTTGCAGCTGCGGATGCAATTGTTGCTGTTGCAGTTGCTGTTGATTGAAATAGTTGCAGCCCAGGCACAGTTGTTGTAGATACAGATACGCGTGTCAATCAAAATGCAAAACAAGCTGGTTTAAGGCTGCAAACAAGTAATTACTATTAAAACAAAAAAAACGAAAATTAAAATAAATATAATAACAAAATCCGCTCTAGAAATCAAGAAATTTAGTAACAAAAGCGGTTTACTTAAAGCAGCTAAAAAGTGCACAAAGTACACAGTTTAATGTAATCTTAAAACAATTTTTTTGCAAAAGTCGTATGCAATTATTAAAAATAATAAATGTAAGAGAAAAAGCAAACTTTAAATCAAACGACACTTGAAAACTCGTATGGAGAGAGAGATACCAATAAAATTTGCAAATAATGAAATTAAGAAAAATATGAAAAGATAAAATAACTGCCAGGAAAAAACATTTACGAAAAATAGATATACACATATACTTGAGAATCAATTAAATGCCAAAAGTTTCAATGAAATCTCGTAACAAACTCACGAACAGCAACAACATTTTAACTACTTACAACACATCGGACATCTTGAACAGATGAAACTGCTGCCTGATGCCAGATACAGTCGATAATAATTTTAAATCCTTAAAACATAAAAACTAAATCTCAGCAGGCAGCACTCTTTTTTAATTTCAATTTAAAACAATATCAAAACAAGGGTTCATTTTAATGGATAAGAAAACTGAACAGCAAACTGTTTTCAAAAAATGTGTAAAAAAAACATATACAAATATGTATTTAATTTCAATATTCACCACCTGATCCAATTTTTATTATTATTATTATTATTCAGTTTAATTTTATTTTTACGTATTTTATTATTTTTGTGAAACGAATTTATTTGCAAATAAATCAACTACAAATAGAGCAAATCGAAAGTATATACGTATAAATATAATTACTCCGTCCGAACACGCATTCTGCGCATTGTTGATTTGATTTCTCATTTATTTATTTAAGCACACAGACACACACGCACATTTATTTGAATGGAACTCAACTAAAAAGTCATGTGAACAGTATTAAAGAACTAACTAAAGCATTTGATGAACTATACTTAAACCTAACCCTGGCAAAAAACAAAAAAAAAATAACCTATAAAAATAACCATGTGAAGTGCATGCAAATATTAATTAAATATTGAAGATAAAGGTATTGATATCTATTAGACATAGGGCATTAAGTTAACGAAAGGGTATTCAAGGTATTCAACTATTCCCATTTAAAAACAGGCATATATTACATCTACCTATATTGACCCTCTTGAATAGTTGATAACTTGGCGTTGTACATAGCATTCCCACACTAACGCATAATATACTTATATATATATAAATATATATATAAATATATATATATATATATATATATATATATATATAAATACACATAAATAATTAACTTAACCATACGGCAGAGAAGACTTATAAAAACTAAGCAACAACAAAAAAAATACAAAAAACAAAAAGAAAAACAAATCAAACTCAAAGTTGTGTAGGATTTAAATGTTGCAATAACGATAACGATAATTTGATCGATTGTAGGCATATTCATAATACGCTAATCAAAATGAAACGAGCAACTGTAATGAAACTAAGCTAAGCTAAGTTATTCAAAACAAGCCCAAACCAAAAACCCTCCAATTACTACTCCACCACCCTTCCCCCTCCCCCACCGCCACCGCCACTCATAGGTTTGTTGTGCTTTTATTTCATTTATGTTTAGTTTCATGTTTATGCCATGTTTTGGCCCGTTTTCCTAATGCTTTTTATGTTTCTGTTTCTTTGATTTTTTGTTTTTCATTTTTGTTGTCAATCGCTTTTGTGGCTAACTCTTACTGCTTACTGCCGACGCGCTCTACTGCTGTGCTGCTACTGCGCTGCCTGCCTGGTGAAAAGTGAGCAGCGGCAACACCCACAACTCGTATGCACCGAATGCGCCCAGCGCCCCGCTGCCGGAGGCAGATGGCAACCAGGGTGGCGCTGGAGGCGCAGCTGGTGGCTACAGTGGCGGCGGCGCCGGTGGATATGGTAATGGCTTCTCGGCTGGCGGTCATGGCCTCTATCCCTCGCTTCCTAACAACAACAACAACAATAACAATGGTGGTGCTGGCTACAATCCATACGGCGGCTACAATCCCCAAGGCGGCTACAATCCGCAGGGCGGCTATCAGCCCGCTCCTGGTGGCTATCAGCCAGCTCCAGGTGGCTACCAGCCGGCGCCAGGTGGCTATCAGCCTGTGCCCGGCTATACTCCGCCCGCGCCTGGCTATGACAATGGCGGCGGCGGCGCCGCCCAGAAGCCCAAGGACAAGCAGGGCGGTGGCTTCTTCTCCAACTTCTTCTCCAATCCGGCGGTGAGTCAAGCGGTTTCCGGTATCATTGCAGGCCAAATAGCCAAGCAGCTGCAGGGAGGCGGCGCCAATGGCGGCAATGGTGGTGCCAACGGCGGGGGCAACAACGCTTATCAACCAAGCGGAGGCTATTCGTCCGGCGGCGGCGGCGGCGGTGGTTCATCCGGCGGCTCATCTACTGGCAGCAATCTGCTCGGTGGCCTGCTTGGCTCCGTTCTCTCTGGCGGCGGTGCCAACGGCAACAATGGTGGCGGTGGGGGCGCTAGCAGCTTCCTGGGCAGCCTACTTAGCGGCGGCGGCAGCAGCAACGGCGCTGCCAGCCATGGCAGCGGCGGCGGCGGCGGCAGCGGCCTCAGCGAGATCTTCAACTCCAAGAACTTTGGCGGTCTTTTCAGCGAGAACCCCTCATCCCGTGGGGCCGGTGGCGGCGGCAGCAGTGATGGCTACTCCTCCGGCGGCGCCAAGAGCTACCCCACCCAGCCGCCCGGCAACTACTACGGCAAATGAGGAGCGGGACAAGAAGGTGGAGCTGCATCCACATCAAATAAGTCGGAGTAGAACAATCTTGTAATAGTTTCCACCAATATCCCCCTTTATAACTTTGCTAAACATACTCGTACATAGCATACATATATAATCAAATGGAGGGTTTTCAATGAACTAATAAGAGAACAATACTTACATGCAAAAACTAAAGCAAATACAAAAACAAATACAAAAACAAATACATAAAGAAATGCAAATACAAATTCAAATACAAATACATATACATGTACTCATACGTTGATTCTGAATAACATAATACTAATAATACGGAAATCAAATACAGTTCATATTAAACATAAACTAAGTATAATAAACAAGAATCAAAATTCAAGCAAATTGTGAAAAACAGAAACAGAAACAAACAACCCGCAACAAAACAGAAACTCGATTTATTTGTAAATAGAAACTCGTAAGAATTGAAAGCCAGACCACAAATTGCTTTTTCATTTTTGGCATGGGATTAATTAAGATGTCTTTGGTAAGTAATGGCAGTAGAAATGAAAAAACCACTCTATAATATGGTATAACTCCATTATATAGCTTTACAAAAAAAAACCCATCCCATGGCTAAAGCTTACGTGGGTCGACAGAGAGCTCTAATACGACTAAATGGGGAAAACGTTGGTCAAAGTTTGTACGAAAAAAATCAACAACAACGCAGCAATACATAAGCCTGTTAGCGCGTCGGACTAACAAGCGAGTAGTCGCCGGCTCAAATTCAGCTGCAATTATCAATTTTTCATATTTATTCATTTTATTTTTTATTATTCACGACTATTTTTTTTACCCTATATTTAAAATACCCTTGTAGAATAGATGTTGATCCCGATGTTGGTAAGATTTGGATCATATGAAAGGAGCTGAGTGAAACTAATAAACGCCGAGCTTGGACAAGATATCTTTATAAACAACAATGTGTTATATACATATATAGCTTACCATTTCACCGATAATTATCCCAGTTGTCCGATCCAGCCAGTTACGGAACTGAAACATGAACCTATGCAAACTTTCATGACAATAGCCTTAAAAAAAAGCGTACAGACATGTCGTTACATATTTCAGGACAATTTTACAATTCTTCAAGGGCATAAATATGCATCAGAGTGAGCATAAATATAATTTTTTGTTGGGTATGGAGGGAGATATTCAAAAAGAGAAATATTCTGGATATGTGCATACTCTGAGAGAGTCTTCAAGAAAGTGGGGCAAGGTATTGACAAACTAGATCTGTACGGACATAAAGGAGAGGCTCTCATAAGTGCTAAGATCGACGCGTTCATACATACGGACAGACAGACGGACGATCAAACAGACGGACATTTCTACATCGACTCGGCTGTTTATGCTGAGCAAGAATATATACGGCAAATGGGTTCGGAGAGGTCTCCTTCTGCCTGTTACATACATTTGCACAAAACCAGCTAACCCTGTTTTCAGCCGTTTTCAACGGGTTCAGGCTATAAAATCAAATAAATATATAATGGCTGAATGGGTTTTTACAATAAAAATTGTTTTCAAATAAAAACGAATAGCTCTATTTATGTTGTATTTCAATCGACAAATTCGACTCAGCTAACTAAATAAAACTGTGAATCATTTCAGACTATTTGATATAAATGTCACGATGCATGAGCTGTTTACGAAACATAATTTCTTTGTACATAAATTGTTAACAAGCTTTCAAGTGTTCGAATTTCAATTCTTATTTCGTTTTTTGCAAGTGTGACGTGTGAATAAATGCAGTAAATAATAGCAAAGATTTTTTTTTTGTCTTGATTGATTTGTCAACTACAATGCTGTCATATATATTCTTTGGCAGACGACGATTAGTCGCCTTATTAGCGAGGTGTGCTAAGCATCTAAGCATCGGCTCACTGAGCACAAAGTTTGGGGATCGAATCCCCTTGAATAATCGCAGCTTTTTATCTGGTTGAAGTTTGTGCCAATTCAACAAACAATTTAAGTTACCACTTGCATTTTGAACACAGTTCATTTGATTAAGCAAGGCGGTGCCTGACAATATTTCGATTTTATTTATATCACACTTAGATAAACTACTTGCGGGTATTGCCCGTCCTTGCCCGTGGTACGTTCTTTGCTAATCATTTTAGATATTACCTTTCCATTAAGTATACGCCCGTAGAAAATAGAATTCTACCCAGCTTGATCAAGCTCCACTTCTATATAAAAATATGTTTTTAGTGCATGGAAGTCCATGTTTGTCTTGTGGTGACAATCTTGAAGCTGAAGAATAATTGTTCGTTTATTAGAACTTTGACCCGCATGACAATTTGTTTATAGGCTTATAGCCATGACTCTTATGTCGTGCCATATCCGCATACGGTACGATACGTATACGAAGAGATTGCCAGCCCTTAGAGTTCATCAGTCGGCAAATAAGTATTAACAAGCGAAAATTCCACTCACAACTCTTATCAAGTGGCAGATTAAATTGTTTTTGCTGTTCCCAGTCGACAAACGTGTGAGGCAAGTGAGATCCTCTTGAGTGCATCCGATCTGAGGCAACTACAGCGAACTGCATAGAGAATCAAGCAGCCGAGCCGCCTTTTGTTGTGGCTCAGTGCCAGTGACTGGATGTGGGCAACATTGTTGCTCCCTGCAGCACCCCCCACCCAACGCTTTTGAGGTCATACAATATATTATACGCACGCTAAGATCCTCTCTCCTCAGGAGCTGTGCAGCGGCAACGAGATGGCCATTTGGCTTTGGTTAACCGACAACCATTTTGTAATTTATTTAAGTAATAAAATAAATATACGAGTATGTACATTGCGCCGGCAGGAGCACCTGCTCGGAGTGCCCCAGGAGGTGCAGCTACCAGGGGAGCGGGCTGACGCTGAGGAGCGGCGGGGAGGCGACACACACATATGTATGCGGTTGTGCCAGAGCCAACGACTGCACATTAAGTGCGAGAACTGCCGCTGTCAGTGTTAGGTAATGCAACAACGTTGTTGTTGCCCCTGCTGCTGCTGCTGCTGATGTGGCAGTTGTTGTTGTTGGCAGCGAAAGTGCGCTTGAAGTGCACGAAGCACCTACTTGGCCAAAGTGAATTTAGTGTCAAGTGCAGGAAAATGTGAAAAGCAGCTACGAGTTAGTTTTTCATATTTAAGCAGCACTCGAGCGACAACAACAACAACGACAACAACAAAAACAACAACAATGTTGACGTTGACGGTGGCGACGGTTGCACCAACCTTTTACCTTCGAACTTTCCATTGCCGCCAGAGCCACATCTACATAGACACCACGCAGCCACATGGATGATGTTGTTGTTGGCACTTGGGCGCGTGGTGCGGGTAGCGGCAGGGGGAGGGTTTGCCTCCTCGATGGAAAAACAATGACGTGCCACATTTAGAAGCTAAAGCTAAGGCGAAAGCTAGAGCTGAAGCCGTGGCCGAGGCGCGTGTTCCTCCTCCTGCCCAGCGTCGAATGTCGTTGACTTTTCAAGTCGCATTAG